TAGCAGCAGACAATACCTCCTGGCATGGTGATGAGGAAAACAGAAAATTGCAGTCAGACTGTGGTTATCAAAAATTGCCTTGGCCACCCAACTTACCAGATCTCAATCCTATTGAGAACACTTGGGCTCTGCTCAAAAGAGCCCTCAGAAATCGATACTCCAGGTTGGATAGGAGGCTTCACAGTGCTGCTGAATTATTTCAGGCAGCAAAGGAGGAATGGGATTTAATTTCCCCAGAGAAGTTGGACGGGTGGATAGATAGGATGCCTGAGAGAATACAAGCTGTACTAGATGCAGATGGTGGTCATCCAAAGTGGTAATAATATTTTCTTAAGGCTTATTAGTTCTATTCATATACTTTTCTTAATTGAGTTGTTTGAATTTTTTTTCAATTTTCCATGGAGAGGTGTTGTGGTTGTGTAGTTGTACCGCCAGGGTATGAAAACGTTACGCACATGACTGTATGGGTTGAGCTTAAAAAGGGATTACACCAGCAATATCCAAGAATTGGAGATACCCCAGGAGGGAAAGAAGCTGTGAAGAGGTGGCTTGCACATGTATTACCACTGGTTTGAGAGACAATTCCTGAGGAGCTTTTTGAAAAGTTGTAGAAATCAATGCCAGATAAGGTAGCTGCAGTTTTGGAGGCAAGGGGAAGATATACAAAGTACTAGCTAGTATTATTTCTATTTCTATTATACAATTTATTATGGGGTATTCTGGTTGATCGGTTGATTCATTGTTCACTATTGTCGATTGTTCACTATGGTTGATCGTTCATGTGCACGATCACCGGTTGCCACCCCACCACGGTACCCCATCATGGTATGGCGCCAACGCTAATTAAACAGGTCTCAGATCACGAACACTTATGACGAGTGGCTGTAGCTCTACTTACATCAGGGTTAATTGCCAAATCATAAGAAGCAAAGAACTGGTACATGTTGCTCGTGAGCAAGATCCCATTCGAGACAGAGTTGATGGATCCGTGGGACTCATTGGTGGGGGGAATGGTGATCAAACCATGGTAGTTACAGTCATTCCACTCCCTCTCGTATGCCAAAGGAAATATGTGAGTGGCTTCGAAGCCCCTCGACCTGCCAATATGAGCTAACACCGCAGGCATGCTTGTTATAACGCATCGCTGATCTCGCTGGAGCACAGCATCGCGGAACGATTCAATACGAGTCCCGGAGGGCAATGAAGCTGTACGAGTTAGTGGGACCTCATCGGTGACACTGACTGGACCTATTCGCAGTGAGTAGCGGCCAATGATGGAAGCAATGAAAAAACCTACCCTTAGTGACAACAAAATAATTGCCTGGTTGAAGCTGTTGTCCATCCCTCCAAACCAACTGTTTGTGGTCGTCACGTAAATGGAAAGTATCGGTAAAGAAGCAGAAAATCTCCAACATGGAATAGAGATTGGCGTTGGTAATACCTTCAGAGGCCCAGAGGCCTCCGAGAATAGTAGCACGGTTGTCGGAAGCGTAGATGTAAGTATCACGCCAAGCTGAGCGATCAGTGGGCGGCGTGTTTGATTGACTATCTTCATCTGTCACAGACACGAGTTGATGAAAAGGGAGGAAAGCTTGTGCTAAGGTAGAAGGAAGAAATGTTTGCGATGGCACGAGAGTCATGGGATAGGCTGCAAGGTGGTGACAAAGAAAAGCGATCATAGACAAACATTTACTTGGCGACCGGGTAATCTATGATTATATAAGCACAAAAACGCTGATCCGGCCAAGCATTCCGACCGGGGTAAAGTCAACCCTAAATTGAATAGTATTCATTCGTCCTGTTGCGCTTGCCTTGTCGCCTGCCTTGTCTACCGCATAATCTAGTGAGAACTGGCAGGCTCTAGTACATTCAAATAAGATTTTTTTTTCCTTGTTTGTCTCAAAATCGCAATAAAGCGCCATATCCTAACCCTTTATGTCCAGGACTAAACCGTTCTAAGATCTCTCCTTCACTCAATCGTGAGTCCACGCAAGCCGCATCCTTAATTCAACGTACTAGCGCCTGCCTGTTCTCGCCAAATAATGCAGTACCACCTAGACATGATAACATACTATAAACATACAAGTTTCTGCATACCCATCGCAATTTCATCCATTTCCGTACACATTCCCATATGCATTGTCTTCATATCTCCACCTAATCGCATTCTTCATTCGCCATACATTCAGCCCTATAGATTCCACTATTCCTGCAATGCCGATCATTTCACATTCCAACCAGTGCAACATATTCGAGACAACAATAATTGCACGACCATGAGCACAGTTGTCAACGTTGCAACGAATGTACTGTACTGTACAGTACCACAACTCAATACTATAAATAAATTTAATTGTTTCATGATGAAACGACAACAATGATATTGATAAAAAACAATAAACTCGGTAGAAGTTGATACCCGGTATGCAGCCCACCAACCTTCATCACACCCTCTACCCTCTGAGGCATACTCCTAGATAAACGGTTGGATAGATCAGAGTCCCAATAGCCCCGACTGCCCGTAAGGTGAGAGTTCCGGCAGTCATATATTACAGTAGCCAGATGGAGTTGAGTAAGCGTACTCGTACAGTTTCATGCGGGGAGCGGGACAGAATACGGCGCCAACTCAAGAGTGCAAATTTTCACCCAACAGAGGACAGAAAAGCGCTCCAAAATGAGCAGGCAGTCTTAAAGGAGGTACATTCTAGAGTATCGGATTTTGCGTTTTACGGTTGAAGATCCCATGATCAACCTGTTCAATGAGTCCATCGCTTGGTTTCCGAAGGTCAAAAAATCATCCATTCAACATTCCATCTCATTTAAATGAGACAATAGCGATTTCCTATTTAGAAAGGTTTCAATTACTGGTATTATTTCACGTAAAAACCTAGAGCGCGCCCGATTTTGAAGATATTTATGAACGGATATAGGTTCTCAACGACGTGGCTACGCGAGAATATGTAGTGACCTAGGTACACATCACTTGGCAGCCTACCCTCGCCTCTTCCATGCCCCCATGCATTAAAACGGTCAAACAGCTCTAACTCCATTCCCTTTTCAGTCATTTAAACCACTCTCTATCTCTCCCATCCTGTCTGAGCTAGGCGGGAGGTCGGTTTCGAGGGAACAAGGCTCTTAAGGCCTCCTCACATTTATAAGAACTGCCTGGCGAAAGTGCCAGCGTAGGAGCTCGTCGACCGGCCGAAGTGGATCATCAATGAATGCCCGGTCAAGACGATGACCGGCTATGTGCTAGATCGCGCGATCAGGTGTGAAGCACACGATCTTGTGGTTATCCTACACAATTATTATCCACGCAAACTTGAAGATCTAGCCATTCATACATCGGGGTTTATTGCCACCTCATAGGCATCAAAGAACTGGTGCATGTCGCTTGTGAGCAAGATTCCATTCTGGACAGAGTTTATGGGCCCGTGGGATGTAATCGCGGGGGGAATATCGATCAAACTATTGTAGTTATATTCATTCCATTTGCCCTGGTATGCCAAAGGGAATATATGAGCGGTCTCGAAGGCCCTCCATCTGTCAACATGAGAATACTCTGCCGCCAGGCCTGTTAAAACGCATCGCTTATCTCGGTTGCGTACAGCCTTGCGGAATGATCCAACACAAGTTCCAGTTTGCAACGAGATCTGACGATTCAGCGGGACTTCGTCGGCGACAACGATGGAACCTATCCGCAGTGAGTAAATGCCGATGATGGAAGCACAGAGGAACCTGCCATCAGTGACAATATAGTAATTGCCTGGTTGAAGCTGTTGCCCATTTCTCCCAACCATCTGTTCTCTATCGTCGTGTAGATAGTAAGAACCGCAAATAGAACAGAAAATCTCTAGGATTGAATAGGGATCGGCGTTGGTGACACTGTTGGTCACCCAGAGACCTCCTAGTACAGCGGTACGATTCTTAGAAGAATAGATATAGGTATTACGCAATGCGGAGCGGTCAATAGATGGCATGTTAGATTGCCTATCTTGGTCTATCAATCATTTTGTTCACTATCTGAGGGGAAATAGGGAAGAAAGGAGGACTTGCCTTGAAGGAAATAAAAAGGATATTTACGATGAAATGGGAGAAAGGAATGTATGTGCTATCACGGGAGTTGTGTATCTGGTTGGTAGGGTGCAGGGAGGTGGCAGGGGAGGGCGGGGGGACGCGGACCTGAACGGAGGTATAGTAGGAAACCTTTGGTTTGCAAACCCAAAACCATCAACCCCTGCTTGGCTTGGCATAGGGCCACAGCACAACACCTAATGGCTTCTAAAACCAGCCCCGCTTACGCCTTCCAGGATGATATGTAACTTGGACAACATTCTGCTAAAAAAATACAGAAATACAATGGTGATACCCTTTCGTTGCGTAGTTGGTTATTACATCAGTCTAACACACTGGTGGTCTCCGGTTTGAGCCCGGCCAAAATCATTCTCTTTTCTCACTTCTAACACTCTTTTTCCTCTTTTTTCATTCGCAATGTCATCTATTTCATTAGCTCCAATCGGCTGCTTGTCAATTTATACGGCTGAGGAACCCTTTAACCAGAAGGAACAGTAAGAGAGCGAGACTGGTCATTAATACAGTTAATCGCATAATTTACTCACACGAGTGAGATCTTGTGACTAGTTACCCCCTATTATGATGACGATGATACCTGACGTGGAGAAAAGGAAGAGAAAATGAAAAAAATGAAATCCATTGAGAACGCTCCATTTTCCCAAGCTCGGGCCTCTCACCATTTACCCTCCGATGAGTTAACATAGCAGTTAGTCTACCTTTGCGCCGGCGAGGCGGCCTGCCTGAGCGCTTGTCATGAGGTCCCTCTCTCCTACAACCCGCATACGTCTCTGTCTCCCCGCTCTCCTCACAACACTCCCATTACAACAACCATTTTCCAAGAAACAGACATCGATGTCTTCCAACACAGTTCACCGCATTGACGAATCTAAAGCTCAAGAGATTTTTGGGTCCTAAGGGTGCCTGGTATGATGGGTGTGGTCCCCTCCCCCCTAGAGATTCTGTAATGCTAATATGCTGTTAATTCAAGATGGGAGACCAGAGGACACAACAGAGCCCCTGCCAACCGGGTCACCATTAAATTGGGTACCGTTATTAAGAAACTTTTATAACAAAAGACTACTACGTATTAACTTTTAATAGCTAGGAGTCCCCAGTGGTAAAGTCTATGGTTTCGAGATTGACACATCTTGCTTCAACAAAAACCACGGTCCAGCAGTCACCGCCGAGGGCACCTTCCTTGACGGCAGCCACCTAGACGCAAATACACCAGTGAGTGAATTACTTCACTAAATTAGTTCAGTCTGACACCCAAACCCTTCTGGTGGGAGGGAATACTCACAATGCGGGAGTGTGGCCCTTCCCAGAGACACATCTGGAAGCTAAGCTCTCCCACTACCAAAGCCTATTCTCATGTCCGTCTCAATATATTTCCCGATAGATGTAAGCTTATAACAGATTCCCCCACAACAAATACCGGGAGTACAAACACGCTATTGGGAATTCCCCGCTTCTGCTTGTTTAGAACTACAGTCTCCGTGTTCCCCAGCGATCCGGACGCGATTATTGACTTTTCTCACGTCTCCTTTGGTGGCCTGGCAATCTCCTACAGCGACCGAAACTCTGGAACAAAAGCTGCCAATCTGTTGCTTCCCGGAAGAGGTAAGGACGCAGGAAACGGTTAGGAAACCAATCACAGCCGAGAGCCAGGCCATGTCGACTGGGTCCGTCAAGGTTGTACGCCTTTCCCTTGGACCAGCCGAAACGCCTTAGTTATACTAACCGGTTTTCACCACAAAGGGGCTCCGGGATACATTGAAGTGATTGTAGTTGACACCCTCCACTTCCGTAGAAACTATTCTCAAGCCGTTGAAATCTACACTATCAATTCCTCCGACCAACATATCGCCAGCGATGCTAGTGGATGGGAACTTATCGTTCCTGCACATTCTTGTGAGGCGGATAAGGAACATGCATTCCAGTCCACCCTCTTCCAGAACATTAACGGAAAAACGGTTACTCATGTTAAAATGGCCATCATTCTTGACGGAGGGGTGAAGCGCCCGAGAGTCTTCGGGAAAAGTGCTATATTTGCTGGTAACTAAATTTGGGACTGCCCACTTGGTACCCCTTGGGCTTATAGCAGCAAAATGGGAGGGACCCTCTGAATCGACACTTTCCTCTACAAGTTCTTAACAGATCTACTTTTCCCACCGATTGATTCTTCCGCTATAATACATTTGTGCCCCAAGAAGCCGTTTTATAACCTAGTATCCACCACTACCTCCGCATCTATGATTGGTCCATCACCCCCGAATAGCTACAGCAAGCCCATAGAAAGGCAAACAGGTCCCAATCCTCGACTCGGGGACACAAGTAGGATAGAAAATGTGAGACTAGGCAATTTTCTGTGGTCCAGTGAAACAACAAAGAAAAACACATCAGCCTAAATAAGCGTAAAACTAAACACACGCTAAATCCCAGCTAAAAGTACACCCCAGGAAAACCGTCCTCCTAAGTGAATCCCGTATGGGCACAGACATTTCCACCACCGTGCTCTAATCTCCCACTAAAAACCGCGACAAGCGCCGAATCTCTAGAATGCGCCCACCCAGATATATGCACATTGACTGTCTGAATTAGAAACCACAAAAAAGAAAGAAATTATCTACCACCCTCTCTCTCGCTTAATCATCCTCGAAAAGCCCCTCGATCGCTTTATAATTGATCTTCTTGGAATAACTCCTACGCATGAGCATGTTCTTCGCACTGCTGGCAGGGGTAGCAGTCATTTCCTTGCTGTTGCTATCGCGGGGTTTATCCCTCTTGCGCTTTTTGGCAGTCTCAATGATACCGTTGCAGAGGTCAGTTTCCTTCTTCAGGCGTTTCACTTTAATATCCCTGTTAGCCATACCATGGCATTCATTGGGAGGGGAAGGAAGATTAAGGGAAAAAAGAAAGAAGGAAAGATCTTGCCTTCTTGTTCACGCAAGTAGTCTTTGTTAAGCTCCACCCAGATCTTCTCCATCAGGTCGCATTCCCCTCCGGTGAGCAGGGCTTTCTGGACTTCAAAGTCGTCGTCGACGTTGTCCGGGTAGTCTGATATAGTAGAGGTGGCGCATTCTTCGCTCACTTGGCGGTCGGCCTCTCGGAGCTCTTCCATGATCGATGTGGCGGAGCCATCCAGTAGAGAGGCGATCTTGGATTCGGTTACTTCCTCCGCGATGGCGGAGTGTTGGTCATCTTTGGCCTTTTCGACGCATTGCGGTATGAGGGAGTTCGTGATGTCGACTGGTGTTCCGTGGAGTGAGGAGACCGGGAGTGGTGAGGGGACGGGGAGTTCTGGGACTACGAAGCCGTCTGTGTCCAGTGTGAGGGGTCCATCGAGGAGTGTAAGTAGTGTTGGGCTGCTGGGAGCAGCACTAGGAGGAGTCCCAGAGGGTGCTGGGAGGGGCACCTAGATCTACGGGAGCAGCGACAATAGTGATATTCTGGGGATCCTCGATGACTTCCCTATCATCCTTAATATCCCCGAACCCTCTTGCGCCTCTTTGAGGCTTTCGGTCCATAGCTGGGTGGGTCTTGCGCTTGCTTCAACCATATATTTCCAGATTCTTCTACGGTCAAGTCTCCGCTCTTAGTATCCTCGGATCCACCCAGCGGCTTCTAGATAGTCAAGCCTACTACTTTAACAGCGTAAACCGCCTCCCTAACAGAACGGCGGAAATTGTTCATGCGACCATCCAATTGCGGGACATACGTTGAGTGATACGGAGGGCGTCATTAGCGACCTTACCGTAAGTACTCGAATAGAAGAAGGATGTGCCAGGACGTTGTAGTTGCCTCTCCTAGTAAGGCCCCGACCGGAATCACACAGAATCCTAATCACAATTTGATCATACCTAGAGCTTCATCTACTGTCTCCTCCGTTCTCGTGGTGTTACTTTTTCCGGCTGGCGCCGGACCATTTCTGAGCGCAGCGGCCCGCCCTCCTTCCTCACTCAGAAGAGAATTTGATCCAACGCTTTCCTTGACACTACCGTACTAGTCTCGTCTTCATCAGGGGAACCAACCACCGCACGTTCACCGACACCACCCTAGCCCCCTGAAATCTCACACACGCTCTGCTCGTCAATAGCTCCCCAGTGCCAGCCCTGACATGCCCCCCTCAAAAGTGGTAATTGGCCTGTGCTCCGGCGACACCCACAAAACTCCCCCTGATCCTTCAGGTGCGCCATCATAGAGCTTGGTAAAGGAATGTTCTAGATGAAGTAGGACACCGGCATCGTTGGTTATTTGGTTAGAGATCTGGTTGCGAGCAACCGGGGAGAGGAGAGGCCAGCCATCGAGAAGAAGGTCGCGAGGATGCAGATCCCCGCATGTGATGTAATGCGGCATTTGATATTGGTAAAAGCGACCGCCTCCCTGGAGGCCCGACGCCGCCATGATGGAAAGAGGGCTGGGCAGGGTCCTTCTAAGAAACTTGCGTGGCTTGATTCGGGGCGGATGGGGAAACCGAAGGGAGGACAACGAAATTGGAGGCATAATTTGGGGTTAGGGTTAAAGGTGTCATGTGGTTTCGTGGTGTAGTTGGTTTTAACACCACGGAAACCCCGAAACCGCCCAAAATGTACAGTACTCGAGCAATCAGGTTTTCACCCTAAACCTGGATAGGGAGGCGGAGAGTCAGTCTTTGGTTGAAGACCACTACACTATTAGACTACACAACGATTTTGTTCTCCCCCACGAGACCCAACTCAGCAAACATTTGTGGGGGCTAAACCGCATATCCCGCACACCCCACTGGCCCCTCCAAGGATCCATAGAGAAGAGGTATCCAGCTGTGGCGCCAAGAGTTTAACCAAAAGCCAAAAGTGGTAGTCCGGAAAATCAAGGATGAGCCTGCTATTGGATGTCATGGTGGCGTTTATTGCGAATACATATAGATTCACTGCTAAAAATTATGTCTACGCAAGCCAAGAAACTAGGTACACATCTTTCCCCGTTATCTACCATAGTCTACCCTTTTATTGCCACTAGCGGTGTTATTCGTGTCTCAATAAGTTATACAACCGGACTATGTTGGACCTCATAATATGATAAACCATTTCAACCGAGTGATCTTCCATGATTGAAAATACAACAGTCTCATTCAACCATAGCAGCACCCTGCGAACAAATAAATTCTAATGCGGAAAGGAAAAGTATATCATATATATTGCTCAACTAACCAGCTAGAATGCCGCAACAAAAAAAGCAAGCGGAGTTAAAACGAAAGTCGGTGCTCAACCCCGTTGTACAAGGCTCTGTAGTACTCTAGGTCACATTACAATGGCAGCCTACCCTTGCCTCAAGCGCGATCCCCCTTTGCATTCAAGCGGCCATAAAGCTCAAACTCTATCCTCTCAACAACCTTTGGACCGCTCATAATCTGGCTCATCATGTGTGAACTAGGCGGGAAATCGATCTTAAAACACGGCTCGCCAACCCCCTTCATATTGACGAGGACTGCTTGGCGAAAGTGCCAACGGAGAATATGATCGTCCGGGCGAAGCGGGTCATCAAGGAAGGGTTGATCGAGTTGTCGGCCAGCGATTCCATAGCTATTAGCGATAGGCGTGAAGCAGACGGTCTTGTGGTGATCCTAGACAGGTATTGGTTAGGAACAGCACAAATCCTTTAATCTCGGCCCAAGCGTACATCCGGATTGATTGAGATCTGATAGCAACCAAACAGTGCGTGCATATCTCGGGTGAGCAATATCCCATTCTACACGGAGTTAATAGTTCCATGCGACGCAGAGGCCGGGGGAACGGTGATCCGATGACCGAGATTACGTTGGCCCCAGTGCTCCTCATATGCTAAAGGAAACAGATGAGCAGCTTCGAAGGGCTCCCAGTAAGTAACACCATTTATCACTGCTGGTCTGCCAGTTATAACGCAACGCCGATCCCGGCAACGTACAGAGTCAAAAAAAGATTCGACACGGGTCCCAGAGTGCAACGAAAGAGTACGAAGTAGAGGGACTTCATCGGTGACAGTGATGGAACCTATCGCGGGTGAATGGTAGTCGATGACCAAAGGATAAAGGGGGCCTACCCTTCGTAAATATGTAGTAATTGCCTGGTCGAAGTGGCTCCTCGTCTCTCTCAACAAGTCGTTGGCTGCCGTCTTGTAGGTCGAAAGTATCGGTAATTGTGCAGAAAATCTCCACCATAGAATAGAGGTTAGTGTTGGTAATACCCGGTGCGACCCAGAGACCTCCGAGCACGGTGTCGCGATCGTTGGAGGCGTAGATGTGGGTACCGTGCCATGCCGAGCGGTTGGTGGGCAGAATATATGCGACCCTATCTTGGTCTATCGATGCCAACGCTTGAGGTCAAAGCACAAATCGATGGACAAAGGAATTTTCGCGTAAGTGAAGAAAGGAGTGGTTGCAGC